CATACATACCAACATACATACATACATACATACATACATACACACGTCTCTGTATATATGGTATACCAACCCTCTCAAGGCTATATCCAACCTATATACTTCCAACCCTCTATACCCCTATAGGTTGGTTTAGGGTTTTGGGGGTTAGGGTTTAGGGTTTAGGGCTGCCTTTTCAGAATAGACCTACCTAGCCCCTAAACCCTAAATGCCTAGATCATCTCATTTTCCATGTTCTTCTCCATGTGCTTCTCCATTGTACCCTGTATTTTCTAGAGATCCCTATATACCCCTATTAGGGTTTGAGGTTCAGGGTTTAGGACTATGACTACCAAGCTGCCGCCTTCAACATGGAGGATCGAGATCTTAGCTCCAACTTTAGGTTAATCTAAACCCTAGTCCCTATCACCTGTTTTTCAACTCTGCACTCAAATCCCTAGCCTCTAATCCCTGAACCCTAATCCCTATCACCCATTATTACACCCTAAACTCTAATCCCTAATCCTTCAACCCTAAACCCTTAACCCTAAAACCCTAAACCCCTAAACCCTAAACCCCTGCGCAGGAAGGTGGCCCCCTACTGCATGGCCAAGCTTGAGCCCCAGAAGCTCAAGACCTTGCCGCTTGGGCTGCCTTTGGAGTTTAGGGTTTAGGCTTTAGGGTTTAGGGTTTAGGGTTTAGGGTGGGTTTAAGATGGTTTGAGGGTTTAGAGTTTGAGGCTTGGGGGTTTAGGGTTTAGGGGTTTGGGCGCGAGGGTGTTAGGAATAATTTAGGGCTGTATACGGTCACTGAAGTTAACATACAGGCGTTATAGGCATGGTATACCAAATAGTGGAGGACGAAATGGAAGGGATATGGAAAATCAAACGGGCACTGTGAATACCAAGAGGCTCAAGCCCTAAACCCTAAACCCTAACTGAAGCGGGATCTAATAACAAAAGGTTCCCTTAAGGGGTTCCTGGACTGAGGGGTTTAGGGGTTTAGGGTTTAGAGGTTTAGGGCCTAGGGCTTAGGAGGATTAGGATGTTTTGGGTGACATTGTTCTTGGAAGCTGTGGTTGTCCTTTCACTGATGTTCATGAACAGGGCCCTATATTGTAGAAGCCTCAGCCGTCACTAAAACCCTACACCCTAGTCTCATCCGATCTGGTCATAGCCCTCTTGTAGTTATGTGACACATTCTAAGATTTTTTTTCAGGAGCTCTACCCTCCCTTAACCTAAGGGTTCCACCTCAGAAAGACTGTAGACCAGCTAGTTGGCAGAAGGTAATAAGACCCCTAGACCCTACCTAGGCCTTACACGCTATACATCCCTACATGTCCCTACAGACCGCCGATAGGGGTAGTTCCCAAGATCCGGATCCCATTTTGGTACCCCTGGAGAACAGCCCTAACCCCTAAACCCCAAGCTAATAGGATCCCTAAACAGCTCCTTTTGGCGGCTCCATGTTAGCTTACTCATTCACCAAGGCTGGTGAATTACGGATGCGTCAACGTGCCTGGCCTGGTCTTGTTGGGTTTAGAGTTTGGGGTTTAGGGTATAGGGTTCATCGCTTCATTCATAGGGTTAGGGGTGCCTGTAAATGGGTTTATGGGGTCATATAGGGGCATTCAGGGTTTAAGGGTTCATTGTTTGATTCATAGGGTTAGGGGTACCTGAAAAGGGGGGCATGGGGGTCATATAGGGGTATTCAGGGTCCCCATAATAAGGATCATAATGTATCAGTCTACAGCGGGGTCCCCTAAATTTAGGGAAGCTACCATATAGGGAAGTGGAAAAGAACATGGAAACCACTATTTTGTTCCGGTGCAGGGTTCATGGGCTGCTGATCAAAGAGTTCCGTGGAAAGCCAGATTTCGTGCTATTGTGATGTGGGGTTAGTGCAGATTTGGGTTTTGGAAGCCAGCGTTTTGGAGTCTAGCGCTTTGGTTGAGTCCAGGGCTTAGGGCTCGCGGTATTTAATTGTTCAGAGATGTCATCTTCCTTTGCTCTTGATCTGTCAGGTGCACCTCGGAAATCTAGTCGCACTGTCCGCTTTCTTGTTACAAGCATTCTAGTTATGTCATAAAGCCCTGCATTCTCTCTCTCTCTCTCTCTCTCTCTCTGTCTCTCTCTCTCTTCCTCTGGAGATAATTAGATATATATATATATGTAGCGCTCTCTCTCTCTCTCTCTATCTATCCCCCACTCATTCTTTTGGCTTTGCAGTAGCACCATTGTGTACTCCTGCGGCCAGACAACAGCGCGAAAGAAAGGGACCTTGCAAGCGGTGTTGAAGTATCGCCCAACCAGAAGCCCATGAAAAGCCTTGAATAGAAAAGCCTTGGATTTAGGGTTTTCAGTATGCCACACCGCAAAGCCCCTTTTTAGTCCTTCACAACCAGTTCTGTAGCAGGCCAATACCTTGATTTATCACCTTTCCCTCACTGATTTCCAGTTCGCGCCATACCACCCGAACCCAAGGCCTGAGCTCCACAACCTAGACCCTGAACCTGATACGCTGGGGCAAGGTGTAGAGGTTAGGGTTGTAATTTTATGGTCTGAAGACCTCGAAAAGGGTTTCGCGGAATGTTGTATTGAACGTGTATCAGGATGATGAGAGGGGAATCCTCAGGACTCATCCCCCACCTGCTAAGAGCCTGCTCATATTGACGATTTGCCTCATTATATGATGGCACTACGCTATTGCGGGTCGGTGTCGGGAGGGTGGGGCGGACGATGGGGCTTGACTGGGCCGCCCACCTGGACGTAGGCCGGGGTTGTGGAAGCAGGAAAGGAGTATTTCATGGTTTCCAAACTATAACGCTCACATGTGGTCCCTTCCTCCATGTCAACTTCTATTTTGTTTTCCATTATCCCAATATAACCCCAATATCTATCCTATAACCCCTAGATGACCCAGTATAGTAGTTTCCATAGTATTTTCCATTATCCCAATATACCCACTTTCTAAACTGTCACCCTAAACCCAAAACCCTTAAACCGCGTGGTTCGCTGGGGAGTTGGATTCTTCAGGCCCCTCCGTCCGAACTTTCGTCAATGCGCGATTCAACCCTCAACCCTGAGCCCCAAATCTGCAGACCCTGGCCCTAACCCTTACCTGGACGTCAAGAGTATGTTCCAGAAACCCTGAAAACAGATAAAATGTCCATTATTCTACAGATTTTGCGGGTTCTGTTAGAGAAATTTTCTACCCCCTCTCAAAGGAGATTAGGCCCTTCTGCTCCTAAGCCCTAAGGAGCCTTTCCGCCGCCTGGGACAGTGCGGAGTGCAGACGGGCGCTGATGCCACGGACAAGAGGCAAGGGGGAAGGGCGGACACACGGTTTAGGTTTGAAGGTTGAGGGTTGAAGGTTTAGAGTTTAGCTTAGGGCTTGGAAGTACGACCCTTTGGGTGGGTTCTTAGCCTTGTACGGGCTCCCTTAAGGGTAGGTGTGTATATACATATATACATATATGGTATATAATATATATATATACACATATTCTTTACCAGGTATGTAGGGACTGCGGGATCAAGGTCGTTTAGCGTGAAGGTACGGGTTGGTGGTTAGTCGGGAATGGACAAGAAGTAGAAAATTCTACTTGGTTAGTATACCTAGACCTTCCTCCTACCCTCAATTAGGGCCTAAGTACCCACTATTAGGGACCATATATCCCCAATTAAGGATACAAGGAGGGTCCTGGTAATTCTTCAACAATTGGTTGCTTCAAATCATGCAGGCTCGTGCGGGGCTTTGGCTGGCATTAATCATAACAGTATGTAGTGGGGCGGGTTCTAAATGATGCCTGCAATGGAAAAGAGCATGGACATGACCATGTAAGGTTTTAAGGGTGTAGGGATGAACAAGGAACTGCAACCACCACATCAGGTAGGGTTTCATTATGGCCTTTGGTGAGTGTATATAGGGTTCATTAGGAATATTGTTGAGCGTATATATTTGGTGTCCACTTTGGGGGACTTCATAAGAAAGGCCATGAGTCACATGATTGGGCAGAACATGAGGACCAGTACGACTCCACTCCTCCATTCTTCACCCTGAACCCTAAACCCACTAGCTCCGTTTTCTGGTGCATTCCCTACTAACCCACTCTGTAGTAGTAACCGTCTAGCCTGCAAGCGGGCCCATGAGCAAATGCTTGCGAACCTAGCGAGCATTGTTGTAGCGAATTTGCGTAAGACTACAAGGGGTAATCACTGGACTGCGAGCAAGTGAGCTACCAGGATGATGCACAGCTACACACTGAACCGTAAACCCTAATTAAGCCCCGTAAACACTGAACCCTAAACCTTGAACCCTTAACCGTGTATAACGGACCCCAAGATCCCATTCCATTTAAAGGGGCTTGCCTCGGCCTCATTTATTAAGGGCTTAGGGTTTAGGGTTGTAGGTTTAGATGTAGCGATCAGCATCCAAGGATTTTGCAGGCCGTATGGCAGGGTCCTCAAGACTACGGCCCTGCCCATATTACTTTCAGGCTATGAGTGGAAAGACGCGTAAAGGGTTCGGGGTTTAGGAGCAAAACCCGAATCCCACCATAGCATCCCAATCGCCAGAGATGCTGAGGAAGCGCATGCAGATTTGGAACAACACCCTGCAGAACCTCGCCTCCTGCGTTCCGATCTTGGTGGACCATCAGGACAGCACCCATCTTCTGCGGTCATGTCTATACCGTAGAAGTTCCGGTAGAAGCTTACGTTGTAATGATGTAATGTAGATTGTGGTTCCCTTAAATGAGCTACTGTCAATATTACACTTATTACCCTTACCAAGGGACCATTAAGGGTGGACATAGGGGTCTCTCTCGTAGTTTAGTGTAGTCTCGAATAATGTCCTTAATTAGGAACCCATGTCCATTAAATTAAATAGGAAATTTAGACCCTATAAACCTTTAAACCCTAAACCCTCCCCTAACAGACCCGTAGCTCAAACAATGCAGGAGACTTTCTCCGCGGCCGTGAAGCACTTCCCGCAGTTCAAGCAGGCCTTCTGGCACATGCAGCCTGGCAATTCTGGGACGCGGTTTTGGGTTTAGGGTCTAGGGTTGGGAGACAACTCCTAGCATCTTCCGTGTGAGCTTCAGACATGGGAGTTTCTCAAAAGTGAGGGCCCCTGGGGAGCCCAAGGCTATGTGAGGAGTGCAAGGGAATTATGGGGTCACTACTTGGGATTCTATATGGTTTTGTCCCTAAGTAAGGGGACCCCAATATAGGCCCCCAAATACTCTCATCCTTATTGTACGGACCCCCAAAAGGTACCCCTAATTTTAGGAAACTCCTATATGGATGATTCTGAGAAACTTCAGCATGGGGCCACTGCTAGGGTCTTTGCACCCTCACAAGTTCAACAACTAGTGCAACAGCTGCCTACCAAATCTAGCTGCTGAGAGAGCCTTATCACCGGTTCCCCGGCATTCCCCACTATGCACCCCCAACCCTAAAAGCCTACATAAGTAGGTGGCTTGCACGTTCTTCTCAGTCCTTATTTGAAGCCTAAACCCCTAAATGTCCCTATGTCCCCATACATGCCAATACAGGGTTGCTGTTAAGGAAACCCATTATGCACTATGTACCATATTTTTGGTAGCTTTAAATGAAGTTCCTTAACAGCGACCCAGTATATACCTCAAAAAGGTACCCGTAATTCTAGGAAATTCCCATGTACCGCTGTATGTCCCAGTTCCTCCAACTGAGCCCCATAAGGGTCTAGGGCTAGGGTTAAGGGTTTAGGGGTGTTTAGGGTTTAGAGCTTATAGTTGGGTAGGGTTTTGGGTTTAGTGTTTAGGGTTACGGTTTATGGTTGGGGCTGGCAGGGGGCCCTTCATGGGTATGCGGGGCTATATGAAGACCACCTGTGTACATATGTATGTATATATATATATACATACAGAGGTATATCAGCACAGCATATGGGGCGTACAAGGGTAGGAGGTAACGGCATTAAAGGGCTCCTTCTAAGGGTCGCTCCCACTTGCTCTTGAACAAATCCTTTCCCCGAAAACGAACGAACCCTCAACCCTCAATCATGACTGCCGGCAATATTGCACCTAAATTATACTTCTGGAAGACCTAAGGGGGCCCCATGTAAGGGAGCTCCATAATAGGAGACCTTTTGGGACCTTAGGGAGCCTTAGGGAGGTCTTAAGAAGGCTTAATTATGAGTGCCCCGTATGAGGGCCCCCTTTAAGGATCCTATAGTATACTGAGGGAGACATCTTTATAAGGGGGCTGGCGAGGTGCAAGAATAGGGGAGAGAATTAGGTTTAGGGTTTGAGGTTTAGGGTTTTAGGGTTTAAGGGTTTAGGGTTTTAGGGTTTTAGGGTTTAAGGTTTAGGAGTGCTTCTCATATAGTACAAAAGAAACATGCACAAATCATATTGCCTAATCTTCAGGCCTCTATGTCAGGCAGGTTTCTCGAAACAGGGGCCCTTTGGGGGACCCGGAGGATGTATCAGGTTTGCCAAAGAAGGTTGCGGTCCCTAGTCAGGATTCTGTGGACAACTTTGAAAAGAGCCCAAATAATCCCTAGGGGGTGGTGGGGTTAAGGGTTTAGGGGTACCCTCATTGTCCGCATAATCTCCACATGCCGCTAGGATCCACAAGTGTGCTTCAACCTTCCGAAACCGCCCAAGAACAGCTCAGGAAGAAGGAGAAGTTCAACTTGAACAGCTACCCCAAGGACCGGGCTTCTTACAGCTGCATGCAATACGCCTTAAACTCCAAATCCCGAGCACTAAACTACCCTAAACCCTCAATCCTGAAACCCTAAACCCTACTCCCTACACCTTACATCCTAAATCCTGAAACCCTAAACTGCCCCAAACCTTAAACATCCTTAAACCCTAAATCCTGACGCCTTAAACCCTAGACCTACAGGTCTAGGGCCCAGAGTCTTGGGTCCTCTCGGTTCTCAGCATGTCACCAGGTTGTGGGCTTCATTTAAGAACTTCGGTTTAGGGTTTAGGGCATATTGTCCATGGCGTGCCCTTGCGTTTTCCTGGGTTGCCCCATATGAGCTATAGTCTAAACTCCTTCAGGAGGGTTATATGTGGAATTCTATATGGAAGCATTATAGGGGTTATGAAGGGGGATACTAGGAGTCCAGGCTAGAACCCTAAACCCTTTAGCTCAGAGGTCCCTAAAGGTCTAGGGTTTCCCAGAAGAATACCTGTGTTGAGAACCCCCCCCCATTTTGCTGTTCCTGAACACTTGCCCTAGCCTTCGGAAGCTCCCCGAAAGAATGGCCAAGCCAAAGCCCTAAACCCTAAACCTTTAGGGTTTTTAGGGCTCAGGGTTCAGGGTTTACGGGCGTAGGATTTAGGGTAAACCCTAGTACCGCTGCAAAGATACCCGAACATCATTTGGGGATTTCGAAAAAATACTCCATTATGTTGGAATGCTGTTTATAGGTACCGCCGAAATGGGACCTCTGGTTCATGGAAGGGTTTAGGGTTTAGGGGGAGAAAACCTGCGGAAGTGGGGATGTTTGGTTCATACTTCCATTGTTTGGGTCATTTCCTCCCCTAGTATCAGTTAACCCCAGACTCTAAACCCTAAACCGCGTGTACTTGGAGTTAAACTAGCCCCTGAATCAGAACCCTGTAAGAAAAGTTCCGGTGTGTGGGGGAATGTCCCTAATCCACGGGGTGTAGGGTTCAGAGAGATAGTAGAAAACATAGTTACGCAAGATTACGCGCTAATCGCTAGATGTTGGGGCCTAAGCCTAAGACCTAGCCTAAACCCTGAATGACGGGTTTGGGGTTTAATCAGGCTTCTCAGGTCTAAAGCCTAAGGCGAAAATCCTAAACCCCTGAATTGTGGCTTATGGTCTAAAGTCCTTGCTGCTGCCTTCAAATAGATTCAGGCGCAAGACGCCCACGCAGATGCGAGGCACAAAAGTCCGATGGGGTTGAAACATGCTACAGTGTAAAACTGTAAATCCAAAGCCCAGAACCCAAAGCCCCAAGCCCTAAACCTTCAAACCCAAAACCCGAAGCCCAGAACCCCAAAACCTTCACCCCAAAACCCTAAAACCTTAAACCCTAACCCCCAAAACCCTCAAACCTTAAGCCCTACGCCGAAGACCCTTACACTCCCCCAAATTAACATGGAAACCCATATAGTCCCCTTTTAGAAGGACTGTGGTCTTTGTAGCGCTCTTTTTGGGTTTCCATATGTTTCCATGTTAGTTTCACCCTAAACCCTAAACCTTGAACCATAAACCCTAAACCCTAAACCTGGAACCATAAACCCTAAACCCTGAACCCTAAACCCTGAACCCTACTTACTCAAAGGTCACTGCTGGAGAGCATGGC